TAATTTTGAAATTGTGGTTAAAAAGCATTGTTTTGAATTTAATTAATATGAATCATGTTGAATATTACTATATTTATAAATACATCAAAAATTTAATATTCAAATAATGTGAAATGTATAAATTTCATTGTTTATATCAATTTTATATATGTTTCAGGTAATCAGTTTTACATTTCATTTAGTAGCTCATAATAAAAAATTTGTACTGCTAGAGGTAATCTTTGGAAACAATCAGTCGTGACTTTATTAGAAACAAATTTAAACAGTCAATATGGGTTCTGGACAAAGTGCTCGTAAGCTTACTATTAATAATGAAGAACTAGGTGTAATAGAAATATCGGAATCTGTTGTGGAACGATTAACTCAAAAAATGTCTGAATCAAATGTAGCAAATGAAGTAAGATCTGCTACTTTAACAGAACCGTCTCCTAAAAAAACTTCACAATTATCTCAAAGTGGTGATATACCAGTAAATGCTGGATATCCTATATATCATCCACAATTAACTTTAAGTGCTCTTCAAATACAGCAACAGAATGAGGAAGAATTTCGTAAACAGGATAATTATTGGCAAAAACGTTTGCAAAGATTGGAACAAAAGCATTCAGAAATTAATGATATCATTAATGCAGAATATAAAAAAGCAGCAGAAATATATATTGGTGGTATGCATAAACTTGTCACTATTTTGCAAAGTATGAATATGTATATTTATAATTTTATAAAAAATTATTTTTATATCACCTTTAACTTTTTAATTGCATTTACTAGTAATTATATATATGTTTATCGTTTTCTGAAATTTTGTAATGTATTATTACAGATATTTTGTAATGTTTATTAGAATGTTTTTAACTTTTATTATTTCTTTTTATAGATAAAAAAGGAGTAAATATTCATGATACTATCCAACCATGTAAAAATAGTTCTGAAAAAGTGTTCCAATGTTTCCAAGACCATCCTAAAGAAATTCTGAAGTGTTCTACTTTAGTTGAAGAATTTTCTAATTGTGTAGATCAGCGTCGTGCACGTGTAATTGCAGCACGCTGTTAATACATTTTAATATTGAATCATTTGTAGTTTAATTAATGTTATTTAATAAAACATCATGTTATTTAATAAAAATAAATTGTGTAATATATAATCAGATTTTGTGTACTTATCTTTACAACACTAATAACAATAGGTATTATATAATATTTCTATCGTAGATAAAATTTAAACAGTATGAAAATAGAGTTAGTGAAAAAAATAAAATTAAAATAGAGAATAACAATTAGAAATAAAATACTAAATATAAATAATTTTTTGAATGACAGTAGAATATTACATGAGATATTTCAACTTTTATTACTTTTAAATGACAAATTTTTTCATTGATTTTTGGATATGTTAAGAAGAATGTAATTCTGTGAAACTTTTCCTGTACGTATAATATATAATGGAAGTTAATTTCTAACTTCTATTATATATTATAAAAATCTTTTGATATTTTTTATTTTGGTGGCAGATAAAGTTTAGGCAAGCTATATTGATGAACATAATCATATATCACATCGAGGTATGATTTATAAATTTGTAAATACAGATGGACAAGAAAAGACAACTCAATTTCCATTTAACTTAATTGCTCTAAATATGTATATTTTTCAGTAAATCTAATCCAAATTTAATTAATTAAGCTAGAAAATAACACAAAAACAAGGTATAAAAATTATTTAGGATATTATAATTTTGATACTATAGTTTTGATACCATAAGGTTTTTAAACAATTATTTTTATTGATTAATTAATTATGAAAAGACTTCATATTTTAATTCATTTCCGCAAATTTTTTGTAAGTTATAAAATTAAATTATATCATATAAATTTACGCTTTAATTCACTTTAAAAAATGTGTACATAATACGTGCAAAATAGATGTGTACTTTGTACTATCTATTCTTACGCTATATTTAAAGTCACTAATTACTTATTGTAAGGTATGTATTGTGATTGAATGTTGTTATAAAATGTAGTTTTTAATTTAATTCAACAATCGCGATGAATACTAGCCAATTTGGCACATTTAGTATATTATAATTAGACTCGAACAAACAACTTTTGCCAATTTGTTAAAAACACTGAAATTCTTAACCTTTGGCAGTCGAAAGCCGGCATGTTTCTAGCAAAGCATTCTTATCATTGCGTTGCAAGGAAAAACAATTCAATACTGCATGTTTAGTCTATATATGAAGTGAAGTGACTTATTGGCGATAAGATTATATTACTTTATATTTCTTTTGATTGTTCGTCACAAATCTATTCTGTCAGTATTTAGATAGCAAGCTCTCCGACTGCTAAAAATTAACACAGTGACTGCTACAAATCATTTTTCAATTAATTCAAATTGATGAATTGTTCCATTGATATATTTATATGATATAAATATGATATACTGTTTTTATTTATATGATATAAATATAATATACTGTTTTTATTATTGAATATTGAAGAACTTTAGATAAATAAATAAATTATCAAGTTTAAATATTGGCAATCCTGTTGATGAGTCAACAAATCTTTCTACTTAAGAAATTAGTTTAAATCTCAAATATATTTTTATATTATTCATGTAAGTATGTATAAATGTTTGTGTTATATATACATTTAAGATAAAAAAAATATTTTAAACAGAAAATATCTGTCAGTTTTGTACTAGCTTTGATTTTATAGTTTTTTGTTATACATACCTGGAGATATTTAAAAAAATGGAATATGCAAATATTTATTAATTTTTTTGAAACTTTATTTTCACTTTAAAAAGTTTTAAGGTCATTATGTTGTAAATAATTAATCAAGTAATTTGTATTAAATTGTATTATTATGTGACAATATGAATTCAACACTTTCACCTTACACTTCCTACAATCATGTTTTTACTTATATTTATTCAAATCGTTAATGGAGAAGACGAATTCAGTTATGTAGTCAATATTTATCTTATTAGTTATGATTACTTATTTTTGTATATATTATTGATAATAATAATTTTGTATGATATTTTAGATATACACATACATTAAAGCAACAAACAAACATGAGTTTGCAGTGGACTTTAATTGCTGGATTTTTATATCTTGAAATTGTAGTAGTCTTATTATTAATACTACCAATTATTTCACCCAAATCATGGCAAAAACTTTTTAAATCTAGATTTTTAAAAAGTTTAAGTAATCAAGCATCGATTTATTTTTTAATTTTACTTGGAATATTAGTCTTATTTTTATTGGATGCTATTAGAGAAATGCGAAAATATTCCAGTTCTCTTGATGAGCATAAAGATCATCATTTAGATACTGAAATGCAAGGTATGTATTTATATTATTATTGCATTTGATATTCTTTGTCTATTTTGAGAATTTATTTATAATGTTACTATCATTTGATGTAGGTAATATGAGATTATTCAGAGCAGAACGGAACTTTTATCTATCTGGTTTCTCATTGTTCTTAAGTCTTGTTATACATCGCCTTGTGATTTTAATTTCTACTCATGCCACTCTGTTAGCACAAAATGAAGCAGCTATACGGCAAGCTGAATCTGCTACTACAACAGCAAAACACTTATTGTCACAACAACCAATTGGAAAAACTGACTCAAATGCAGCTCACGATGAAGAAATATCAGAGTGGAAAAATCAAATTAAAGAATTGCAAACCAAAAATCAGAAATTAGAAAATCAACTTACAAAAGAAAAGAAAGATAAGGAAGCTATAAAATCACAAGCAGAATCTCTTACAAAGGAGTATGATCGCTTAAATAATGAACATAGTAAATGTCTTCAATCAAGTGGTGATAAGAAAAGTGATTAAATGATACTTTATATTCAAAAGTATATTTTGTTACAAAAATTATTTTTTATTTATTTGTTAGTTGCACTATTAACGTGTTATAAACGTTTTAATATTTTAATACATTGTTAATCAGCAAATTTTGTATGAAAAAACGAATTATTTGTAACTGGTCAGCAATGTATTAATATATTTGTTAATAATATAACAAAACATAATGAAACATGAAATTAAATTCAATAAAACTTTTTTTTTAATTGTTTGGTTTCTTTTTTCTGTTTTATATCTAGAATCTATTTCTCATAATGTGTAAGATACTATAATATAATTTCTCATAATATGTATATATATATACTATAATATAAGTAATAAACAATAATATAAAGCTAAAAATAAAGGATCAATTAATTTAAATATAATATAGCCTTTGAATATTTTTTATCCAATAATTTTATATTATCATCAATCTTAATTTTCATCTTAAAATTTCCAAAATTATTATTAATAATTCCAAGATTATTAACAATTATTAATAATTCCAAGATTATTTATCAATTTGTCGATTATTGTCGAAATATTATTAAATTGTTGATCGATTAAAAATTAATAAAGTAATATAAAAAACGATTTAAAAACATATGTTAACATTTATTGGATTATAATAGATATTACTTACAATATCATCAGTATAATCAAACACCATAATGAAAAGATCCAATCTTTATTTCGTTTTGGTACAAGCAAGTGTTGTGGCCATCCGCATCCACAAAAATTAAACTATTCTAGAGCAACACTTACGATCAACCGATTTTCATCTCAGTTGCGGAAAGTTCTTTCGAAAAGTATAGTCACCGTAATATCAGTGTAATAATAACATTATGGAACAGTATTATATAATAAGTATTTTATGCTATTTAAATTTTAGTTGTAATCTATAATGAAATGTAAAACGAAAAAAAATTCGAACAGCTAATGTCACTGTATAAAAATCTGAAACCAACCATTATATATAGCTTTATGTGAAAAATGGTAAAGCGGATGTAGTTGCATAATATATACTTGTTAACTAATCATTTTATGCACTAGCACTCAAAAAAAAAGACATTTGAAATTCGTATAAAAGACCATTCAATTGAAGCGAAGTATGATTTGTCATTGGAAATAAATCATCTATTAAATAGTTTTAAAAACAAAAGTCTGATAAATACAAGTTCATTTTACCGAATCACTTTTCTAACATAATTTTCACATACGTAGATGTTAACTACTAAAGTCTAAGTTACATAAATTACAGATTTTGGCTGTATTTGCATTAACAGGCCAAAGGTATTTTAAAATTCCAATCGAATACTTGTATTAAAAACCTGAAAATCAAGTTTCGTCATAAAAGTAAAAATAAATAAGCTTTCAAATCGTCAGGAGATAGAAGATATGTTCAACAGTTTATTTATTATTATCTATCTATATTAAATCCTATCTATACTAAATCCTTTATATACTAATAAGATTAATCATAACAGAATTATACAAACATGAAATCCCTTATAAAAGCAGCAACATGTATTGAAGGATTACCAAAGGAGAAGGGAACAATGGTTAAGGGTATTAAATGAGAAAAAAAAATCGAAAAAGAAGAAAGTAGGCAGAGAAAAAGAAATGGAAATAACGAAAAAAAGAAACGATGACTCACGAAGAAGTGAAAGGTTCACTGTTTATTCCTCTGTCTGCTTCTCCGTTCGAACGCATGATCTTTATTAAAATCAAAAGGCATATCCCATGCCTTTCTGTCTCAGAGATCTGGAAATTCTCGTCGGAACAGATTTAACAGAAACTATCCAATTTGTCAACCGATTTTCGTTCGTCAGTTTGCGTCCATCAGCCGATCGTGTCGCGCATTGAGTTGTAAACAAGGGTGTGATTCTAATATACCATCGAACGGACAAAATAAAGTGCTTCTTCTGAAGTATTAAATACAAGTAATAAATAATAAATTATTGAATAAATTAATCGACTAGAAAACTGTGTTACGGTTATTAAAAAAAAAAATACTGTCTTTATAATCAAAAAGAAAAATTCTCTGTAAAGTGTTAATAAAAAATTTCGACCGGATATATGGTGGAAGAAATGAACAAAACTCTCAAGTGAAACGATTCGATTTGTTAACTTGAATATCCCTGAGATATTAAAATTTTATAAAAATAGTATAATTATATTTTATCAACTGATTTTATTTTGTAAATGTGATGTGTACAGCGACATGTCTATTCTTTTTTTATTTATTATAAAAGTTTTTTATTAGTAGAAATTATTTATTATTTAGTCAAAATTGTGAAAAAAAGTTTTTTTTAAAATGGAAAACGATGTTAGCCATATGGAGGAGGACTCAATCGAAATGAGAAGAGCGATTACCTTGGAAGAATGTTCCCATATAATCGGGGTGAACGGCGTGGCTCGTTACAACAGAGAAGCATTTAAACAACTTTTGCTGGATCAGGTGAATATCTTATCTTTTTGATAATCGAGTCAATCGGGAGGGAATATTTTAATTAAAATTTTGAAACTATCTCTATCTGTTAATTATTCAAATCAGTAATTCCAAATTAAGTAATATTTATAATGAAATATAAATAATGTCCTACACTGATGTCTGTGTATGCAACCATATTAATTTCACACTATTTTTTATATGTTATATTAAAGTCTTCTAAAAAAAGAACTATTCTAAAGGACATTTTAACATGTGAACTAATTAATGCGTTCTAACACAAGAAAACTCCTATAGAATCTTTTATCTCAACTAAGAATTAATCGTCACTGAAAATATATTGTCAAAATGTCACGAAGCATCGTAGATACCATTAATAATCCGGCAATATATCTGTTTTTATTCATGAAAATTGAAATCAAAGCAATTAGAAATATGTAATTTACTAAAATCTAAAAAGAAGTTCGCACATTGAAGAGCTGTTCAGAGAATCTCCAGAGAGACAAAACGATGAAAAATAAGACAAGGTCGTGCTACCATTGAAAGCAAATAACACCAAGGTTAGATCGTTATTGAGTAGAGAAATGATTTAAGAGCGAAGGATCCGTTCGCTGGAGGCAAAGGATAGAGAGAAGGAAACAGAGAGAGAGAGAGAGAGAACAGAGATGGGACCGGAGGTAATGGGTAAACGGCAATGGAATCTGTCGAGGGCCAGAGATTTCGATCAAGGTGGCCGATTGCCTGTAGCTGACGAGCCTTTACGCCTTCGGCGTATTCATTGCTCATTATTCAATCGTAGCTGTGATCGACCAATTTTTACTCGACGATAACATGTTTCTCGAATTAAAAATGAGATGGAGAATCATTCAGTATAACTTGAATTTAATCCTTTCAGCGTACTATAAAATAGATAAATATGAAAAAAAAGGAGTCTTCTCTTTCCTATGATTTAAATTTATCAAGACACGGAAATATAAGACTGAGTTATATGTATTGCTTATCTATTCGTAAAGTGATAATAGTACAGTTTTATTCAGACAGAACAGTATATACATTGTATATAATTATATATATGTACATGATTATCAAAAAAATTTGAGGTAAAAATTTGAAAAAATACAAATTTCAGACCTTGATGGAGAAAATATTTTCATTATTCGATCAAAATCAGGATAAAATATTGACGCAAGATGAGTGGGTCGATTTCTTAAAAGGAAGATTGAAGTAAGAGCTACTGTATATTTTTGTCATAAATAAATACTATATTTAATGTTTTATACGTTTTATTATTTTATACGTTTTAATAGAAATGACAAACCAAACGATTTTATTATCCAACTCGAGAATGTTGCATATAGCATATGTGGTGATAATCCAATAACTTTCCCGAAATTTCAACAAATATTTTCTACTAAAGAGGTAAGTGTCAATATATTAAGCAATGCTTATATTTCAATTTTATTAAAAGATAGTGCAAGATACACTCTTGGCAATTTTTTCATTCAAGAGTAAAGAGCATTTCAAAATTTTTTTCTGAATATTTACTTCTTCACATAATAACTAAATATCAATGACTTGAATAATAAATATTACATTTAATTAATTAGTAATTCGACTTGCATAATACTTGGTCATATGTTTGTTAGGACACCTCTGTTACAGATCGTAGATAAATTATTTCGACGAATTGATCAAGAAAATTTAGGATATGTCACATCCTTTCAAATAATGGAATTCCTCGCAAGCATCAGTAATACAAGGTAATGCTAGCATTGGCAATTATCTAGCGCAGATTTTATTAATGCATTTTATTAATACACCAATAATTTTTCAACATCTTTGAAATATTTATCAATAATTTTTTCGAAGACCACTCGCTGGTTTCGACAAGCACAGTTTGGAATGGTTGGAAAAGCTTTTTAAACAGACGGTGGGCAATGAAAAGGAAATTAGACGCGAAGAATTTAACAAAATCGTCATTTCGAAGAACGTAGGCAGGGGGCATAAGTATTTTTCATTTCGAATTTGCAGTTTAATATTCTTCGCTTATGAATTTACTTTCTATTTAGATTTCCACTTAATTGATATAATCATAAACTCTCAAAGTATGTTGAAAATTTAACGAGAATGTAATTTCTTTCAGCCGTTTTTCACTGACAGAGTATTCCAGATTTTCGACAAGGATAATTCTGGAACGATATCACTTCAAGAATTCCTCGATGCAATGCATCAGTTTGCAGGAAAAAGTCCTGACGATAAAATCAAATTTCTCTTTAAGGTTTACGACATAGACGGTAAAATAAAATAATATTGAATTTATCTAAATACTAAAGTAAATCTTAGACAATTGCGTCAAATTGTTTTTGTTTGAGACAATCAAACTTATAAATTTATTATTCGAGAAAAGGTGACGGAGTGATACAACTTCGTGAATTGGAACACGTGATGAGAGCTTGTATGGAAGAAAATGGAATACAATTTAGCGAGGAACAAATTGAGGAATTAACTATAGCGTTATTTGATGATGCTGATCAAGCTAACCGAGGTGCCATCACCTTTGAAGCTTTGAAAAAACAATTAGAGAAACATGAAGGATTATTAGAAAATCTATCGATTAGGTGAACTGAGTTTTACTTCAAAATCAACTTGTTCTATTACCTTTATTCTGTATCAAAAGATGTTCTGTCTAATTAACAAATCAAGATTGCCAAAAGCACTAATTAATACTAATTGAAATAGATGATCACTATGCTAACTTACAGGAAAATATAGTAGAAATTGTAATTTACAAATTATTAGAAAATAAATTTATGTTAGAATTTAAATATTAAATTGTTAAAATATTAAATCACAGTATTGACCGATGGCTGGTACCGCCAAAACCAGAAATGAAGCAAAAATCACGCTTAGAATTTCTTACCTCGTTGCGCCCTTATCAATTAACGAAGCCATATATGAAGAACAATTATGTTTATATCCTTTTCATCTCAATCTTCATCTCAATCAACATGGTCTTATTCGTAACGAGACTCTACGAATATAGAACATTTAATGGCTACATCATGCTTGCACGTGCCTGTGGTAAGACTCTCACCTATTTAAAAATCTGAAATAGATCATACAGAATCTCGTTCATATTTTCGCTTTACAAAATTATGGCGAAAATTATGAGATAGCAAAGCATTTGAATTTTTCAAACACATGCAATTATCTATTAGAATTTGTCTATCCTCTAAATACACGAAATATTGTTATTTTATTATTGAAACAGGTCAGTGCTTAAATCTCAACTGCAGTTTTATTCTGGTTCTTATATTGCGTCAGTGCATTACTTTTCTACGAACTCATGGTTTTAATTCTGTATTGCCATTGGATCAACATATCTATCTTCATAAGCTAACTGGAATTCTAATCGGTATCTTCAGTATAGTACACACACTGATGCATCTTCTCAATTTTGGTGCGATACTATTTTATTATTTTATAGTATCTAAAATAAAATAAAATTCAAGCTTTTCTTTCTAAGACAAAGTACCAGCAGGTCGTAAAATTCTATTGAATTTTCGAAAATTTTTTAAAAATCGTTTCTTAATCTTCCACGATGTTCATTCAAACGTCAATTGTGACCAGATGAAATTGTACTTGAAAATTTTGTCACATGTTTCCAGGTACTATCGTGGTATATGATGAAATTCTTAATTCCAATAATTATACAATATCTGAATGGTTGCTAACAAGTCGTCCAGGTCTGTTTGGACTTATAAAAGGCTTCGCAAATCCAACTGGAGTTATTCTCATCATTCTTCTTGTCATAATAATGATGTGCTCCATGCCGTTTGTTCGACGTGGTGGATGTTTCGAGGTGATAAGCATAACTTTTTTTAACGTTGCAAATGTTTAATCATATTTGAGAAGTAAATTGAATGAGAAATAAATGGGATAATAACTTTTGAAGCAAGTCCAAAGTAATGATCATTCTATGGAGTTGAATTAATAAATAATTAATATTAATATTTTACAGGTATTCTACTGGTCACACTTATTATACGTACCATTCTGGATATTGATGATACTACATGGACCAAATTTCTGGAAATGGTTCGTAGGGCCAGGCATCTTGTATCTGCTGGAAAAAATACGACGAATTGCCTGGTCTCGGTCACAATTAGGAAAAACATACATAAGTTCAGGGCTTCTGTTGCCATCGAGAGTGACTCATTTAGTCATCAAGAAACCACCACATTTTGTCTTTCATCCCGGCGATTATGTTTTTGTCAACATTCCGGTTATAGCTCGTTATGAATGGCATCCTTTCACTATTAGCAGCGCGCCAGAACAAGAAGGTTTAAACAATTTATTTTAAATAATTAATCCAGAATTATTAGCAATTATTAGATTGCAGATTTTTATGTATTTATATATGCAAAATTAAAAGATATAAAAATTCATAGAATACATGTATGTAAAACACAAATATATATATATATATATATATATATATATATATAAAATATCTTTTAGAGAAGAGTACTTCTTTAATTTTGTAAAAATATAAATTTGCATAAATATCTCACTTTTTATTTTAATTTAAACAAATATCTTATTTAGGCAATACGTTTGGTCAAGTGAGGTCAGCAAACATTACAAGTATTTCGTTTTTACAGGACATATATGGCTACACATACGAGCAGTAGGTGAATGGACGAATAGCCTTTACTCATATTTTGAGAAAGAACAGATGAAACTTCGGAGGAACAGTATATTTCCTAACAAAAATTACAGCAACACTAATACTCCGAAGAAAATGTGAGTTTCCCACAGTTTTGTTTATTGGTTGACTTATACATTATTTTTAATTGTTTCTTAATTTTTTTTTTAAATACACATATCTCGACGAAAAACAAAAACTAACGGCGAATGACAGGATACTTTCATCCACTACAAAGAACAGAAATCATCGTGGTTTCGACAATTTTGTATTTGTTTCCGATAACGAAAAAATAACGCACTCGCCACAGTCTGCAATCGGTATGTATCGATAAAAAATACTATTACTAATATTCTGTTTTAAAAAATTAATTCATTGCATTTACGCAGGCATAGCAGATATTAATAAAATTTCGAACGAGAAGAAACGTCATCATTCTCTATTTGTTAGTAAAATGCCTTTGGAAAAGTCTATTTCAGTACCTAACATGCTGCCAGAAGAGAAAAAAAATGATAGATTAACAGTGTGAGTAATTAATATCTCAAAATATCCCTTCAAAGATTAAAGAATATAGAATAGAATTACTTCCACTAATTTTTACGTTATTTTCTTAATAGCCTTCGTGATTATACGAGATCAGAATCAGAAAGAAACTTCAACGACCGTCGAATGCAACATGCGCGTTTAAAATCTTTGGACCAGGTTTATTCCAGCCCGCAGAATAAGGAATTGGCTCAAAGCTTTCGATATATGCGGAACAAACCCACTATAATTGCTTTCAAAACTCCAAGTCTGGAAAATTATGAATCAGAATTAGGCACATCTATAAATGAATATAGTAAGTCAACATGTTTCGACA